GATTTTATTCAGCATGACCCTCTGTTTTAATTTAACAACTACTAACAGCCAAATTGTTTTGAAGGATTGGAGTCAGTTTGACAGATTAAGGCAACACACTACAGGCTAAACCAATGTTTTTTTTTTTTTTTTTTTCATGCACTGGTCAATTTTGAGGATTTGGGGCTATCTTTCTGTGGGGAGAAAAATCCACATTTAAGTGTTTATTTTATCTATTTGTGTCTATGGATTTTGATTCCAGTACATACCTGTACAAATCTAAAGGCTGTTTTCTCAAAAAATATTTCTCATTCATCAAGTTTTTTACACATTTTATTCTTAAAAACATGATAGTTTTTGTCTTCTGATGGTTGACAGTATTTTTTATTTATATATTGATAAAAAGAGATATCCAAAATCCACTCTATAAAAACATTTAACTCTAATGTGTCAACAAAATTATTTTGAAACTGGTTTTATTCAATGTTCAGATTTTTTTTTTTTTTACCCCAGATGTATTTTTTATGATGTTTAACTGTGGTGTTTTGCCTCAAACTCAAACAAATTCCAAATCCCCTTGTACAAATTCTAATTGTATTCTTAATTGAAAAAAGTTGAACTGACTCCATCCCTGCTGTGAAGAAATGAATTCTTGTTTTAACATTTCGTATTTTCTCTCTTTTCTGTCCTTTCCCAAATGCAGCCTGAGGAAATGTAAAATGGGAGTGGGAGATGGGATTATTATCTTAAATATCCATGTTATTAAAAACTTTTAAGATATTGTTGCACTTAAATGAACCAAACTGGATATTCAGTGCTACATCCAGTCTAGCCTGGTCCACCTACAATGGAATGTCTCATTATTGAGTTTAGGAAATTACATAATATCCTAAGTCTGCATCTGAAGTTGTCTGTCTTGTGCACCTTTACAGCTTTGCTACTTTTCTTATCTAGAATTTTTTTTTTTTTTTGTCTCTATTCATTTTGCCAAAAATAATTTCAGCATTATACCTCAAACATTTTTATTATATTCGTTTTATATCACTATATCCTTTATTTAAATTTAATTTCCTAAATTTAAGAAAACAAGGTAGTTTTAAGACTTCAAAACCACATGATGGCAAACAATAATAGATTTTCCGTATTAATATTTAAATAATTATTGGATTTGTTTTGAATAGGATATGGAGCTGGCAAAGTTTGTCTATTTTTCTAAACTTCATTTTAATTTCTTTAAACTTATGTCTGTAAATGCATTTCCATGCATCTGAACTCTGATAACATAAAATTACAGTCTATATAAAATATATTTATTGACATAATGTTTATTCTTAATCATTGTGAATACATCAAATGTGCATATTAATATATGCAACCTCATTTATATGCAATAAATAAATAGGCATTTTACAGTGCATGTTGGAATTAATGTCTGATGTATTTTCCTATATACTTTATAGTATATTTATCTTATATACATAACACATGGTTCATAATTGTCATGTAATCATTTGTTTTAATGTGGCTTTACTGTTGTAATGGTGTTAACTGAAGAGCTTGCTTGACTCCTGTGATTAACCTGGAATAAATCAATACTCCTCTTTGACATGAAACTATGATCATTTTATGCATTTCAGATGATTTATGATTTGTTCATTTGAAAATGATTCCGATTGTTATTGCAGAAAGAGTAAACGTGCAGAGCCATAAAGCAGTGTGTGCCATACTTTGTGTATAGTGCTGCATGAGTGTGTATGTTTTTCAGAGGTCTGAAATTAAACAGTTGGATGGAGAGATCTTCAGAGAACACTATGAGTACCCAGGGCACAGAAAAACAAACATCATTATCACCAACAGGTATTCCAACAACAGGAAAATGATGAAACAGTGACATTTTCCTCATTTTCTCTTTTCCATGTGCTGTGTGTGTTGGTTTCTTTTTCATTCAGGAGAGTGATGTGTGTGAAGGAGATCGATGTGATTGGACATTTCAATAAAGAATGGGAATGTCAGTTTGAGAATTTCCAAAGGCCTCCAAGTGCAGAGGGAGGAGATTTGAAGATATATTACCGGGTACATAAATGCTACTTTTAGTATTAGCAGATACAGAATTACATTGATTGTAGATTGACAATTGTACAGGCTTTCTAACTGATATATGGTGAATAAATGATCATTGCTTGACAACAATCTTGATGTTGGTGCAGGAACAGAACAAAATGAACCTCATTAGGAAGGATGGACAGGCGCTAGTGAAAGTGATACACATGAAACATGCTGACATGGCTGAGGTAAACATCACAGGCGCATGTTTTGTTTCGAAATTAAAACTCGAAAGTTTTTAATGAATGTAATTCAATTAAAGCGAAAATGACAAGTAAAATTTCAATGCCCAGTGTAGAATATGGCACTGGGCATTTTATATTTAGTGTGCTATTTCATAGATTTTAAGCAGTCATCAAGGTAGTTACACAGGTTGCACTAGTTGTATCCCTTTCAGGCTCATATTTGCTTTAAATGTACATAGCTATCAAAATGACTGCATTTCATTTTCTGACAAGAACAAACTGGCCTGTTTGACCTCTTTTGCTTCACACTCCACAGAGACTACGAGAAGGAATCGACAATGCCCAGTTTTCACGCAAGCAATATCAGATGGCAAGACAGAAATCTCAGCGCTTCATCAATATGGGCAAAATTTAAATCAGTCGAACTACGTAAACGTGTGGTCACATCTCCTAAGATTATTATCCTGCCTTGCATTCAAAGCATCAGTTACTGATTTGGTTGTTTGGCAAATATATTCGTTAAACTCACTGAAGTTTTAAATGTATCTGCACTAGACTTTCTAAATCTAAGCACTTTGACTTTTGTTATCTTGTTTTGTTTGGTGTCTTGAAAACAAATATGTTAAAAGAGATAATTTTGTTAAAAAAAACCCACTGCGATATACAACTGTAATGTGCAATGTGAAGCTTGTCCAGTTTAGCTCACTTACCTTAATCACAAATCCTGTCAAAAAAGAAGACAAAAAGCTGACACATATATATATATATATATATATATATATATAGTACTCTCCTTTTCTTTTCTAGATCATCCTTCCACAGGTGTTGCTTAAATTTACTCAACAATGATGCCTAAAATTGCTCTCCACTTAAAAATTATAACATTCAAATGTTTTGTTTAGTTTTCTTTTGTATTGGTTTACAGAACACATATGCCTCTTTTGTCCCTTGCACTGCACTTGAAGATATGGTTTACTATGACTGTAGAGAAAGTGTCATTGTTGTTCCTCAATTAGTTAAAATGGTAGACCACACCTGGAATTTGAGGTGGAGACTAAGATATAAGCTTAGCTCTACCTCTCATGGTTACATGTTTGTTTTGTAAGTAACCATGACATGATTAAAGGGTGTGTGTCTATATGGCAAGGAAAGATTGCACTGTACTGTATTCCACAGTTTTCCCACAATGATGTAGGCTACAGTGAATGTAGTGTCAAAGCACCTGGCAATGGATCCTCTCCAAGTTGCTAAGTAACTCGGCTTCCTGGATGTGGGTGCAAGTGACCCCTATTGGCCTGGTGTGGGCAGGAAAGGAGAGGTTGGTTATCCCATGCCCTCTGCGGTGGGTCTTTCCATGTCCTCCTATTTCCTATGCATCAGTAGACCAGACATACGCCCACAGGTCAATGCCACAGTGTTACAGTTACAGCTGTAACAGCTAAAGACACCAAACACATGATAAATAATCTAAACTAATCCAATGCAAACACTAGGAATGTCAGGCTTTACATAGGAATTTACTGATCTCATCCGCTTCTCTAGATAAAAGCAATTTTTTTAGAGGCATACTGTGTTTTGTAACTGATCATGTCAACACAGCACAATAAAACTAGTGTATGATCTAGGACCAGTCTTAGACTGAACTCTATTGTGAACACTATGATCATGCCACTGTAAACTATAGTATTGCACCTGGATACAACTTTAGTGCATTTAGAGAATCGCATAGTTAAATAATGGAAAAAAATTGTGGAAAAAGAGTGGATTTTCTTTTTGTACTAAGCTTTAAAGTCTCAGTTAAAGGGCATTTATAGAATAGAGTTCTTATGCAAGAGCCAAGACTGGACCAATATTGAGATTTTTTTGGCTTAACGTTTTTTAAACTAATGGTCTATTGTGCATTACATAATGTACATACTTTTGATGATTAAAGTTATTATTGTAATCTAGCAAATTAGCTGTTAATGCTGATGAAAATAAATTGGGTCTAAAGGTTGCAATTCTCAATAGTAAAAACACACTTTTAGAAACTCGAAAAGACTGTCAGGAGCAGGATACTAATAAAAGTTTTGGGCTTGAAATAAATCTGTTGTTTGTTTGTCTTATATATTGTGTTTCTAGATAGCCTATATAGTCCTACACAACATGACGACAACGTGAAGTTCACGCACTGCGCCTCGACTGGAACTGCGTTCAGCGGAAGTACGTCAGCAGCATGCTCGCTCATCACATGTCAAGCATGCTGTCTGTTGTGTGTTTGTGAGAGGAAATTAAAGATAGGCCTACAAGTCTAGGCGAGACAACCTTTGATTTACTGAGTTATTAACCTGCATTTTTGGACAAACGACTTCAAATTTTGACAACGCAGAGGAATTGTTAAATTGTCACAAAGAAAATAAATCGCCCAAATTGAGCGCAAATATTGACGACGTGCATTTCCCATTCAATTGTCGATGTGAGCAGATCTATCAAAGATTAACTTGTTAACTTGTCTTATTAGTGAACGAAATCGTTCTGTTGAGTCGGATCTTGAACCGTTTGAACTATATTCGTTTCGAAATGAGTTTAATTCAATTGTACATAGGTAAAGTACCGGGACATATAGTTTATTTATTTATTTATTTTAACGAGCATTAGCATTTTTACTTATTCAAAATTAATTGTATTGTTGTTAATTAAATGCAAATTATTTGTTCTAAATCAGCCTATTTTCATTTTTGTAAGCTGAGTCGTGGCTGCAAACTGAATTTGGTCGCAAGAAATGGCAATAAACTGCTATGTTAATAAAACTTGAACAAATGTGCCACATATGGCTTTACTGGAATGTTTTAGAGAGCATGTCAATAGTGTGTTTGGCGTGACCATGTCTCGCGCTCAACAGCGCTGTCTGTGGACAGTAGAGCCACACCCGCTCCCATGAACACTAACAGATCTGTCACACGCTCAAGTGCAATCCGAACCAAAAGACGATGTAAAACGAATCCGAATTGTTCTACAAAGCGATCCTATTGTAAAAGTAACTGAAAGCCGCAGATGAAGATGGAGTCTCCGCCAGAGTCCGTCACGGTGCCGCGCAAGAGCGCTTCTGAAGCGGGCGCTTCGGTGGAGGACAGCCCGGTGAAACTGGACAGCAAGGCTGAAACCGACAAACCAGCTCCAGTTCGGCGGCAGAGTTGCTCAAGTACCAACAAGGGTAAGCTTGGAGAACAGAACCAAAGCCTGCTTGTGGATTATTTTCAATTTTATTCAAGTTCACGGAGATCAAATTTTGAGTTTAATCTTAAACCCCAGTCCTTGATATGTGACCTGTTTCACATTAGCTCTGAATTTACAATGGATTAAACAGATTAAATGTGTTATTTTTCATATATGGAGGCCTTGGTTGTCTAGCTAGCTCATGCACGCTTAGTGCAAATTAACTATGTGATAATACACACATTTTGTAAGCGAGCCCAAACATTACTGGCCACTGGCTAACCTGTCATTTCTGATCTATTACCCACATGCTGTTTACTAGTTAATCAAACTGTTGTCATTTTTCACCAGTGTCTCTTCTTTATCTACTCCTGCTCTCATTGTGTATGTAGTCGATAGACAGCAGTGTGGCCAATGTACGTGTCATATGTTTCAGTTGGCTAATAATACACATTGACAATGACAATGCAACGTCTATTCCACTAAATGTTTTAGGTCACTAGCACAGACGAGAGAATATTTGCATAGCGAACCGAAGTGGTGATTTCTAGTGTGTAAATGAGCATAAAGCCGTTTTTTTTTTTTTTTTTACATGGGACTGCCACACCCCTTTTGTATGTTTCTGATTTGGGGATACAAGTCAAAGAAAGGTTGGTTAATGTGTCATTCGGTACGGTAGACTATCATAGTTGACAGTTTAGTTGGAGCAGATTTCAGGCCGATCTTGGCTTTGGCAGTCGTGGCTGTGCTTTAAAACCTAGTGTAGCTTCCTACCTTTGCAGCATTTTTGAGCACAATATGCTACTATGTAACCTTCAAATGCAGTCTAAATAGGCAGCTTATTCGGTATTGAGACGCCGCCCGTGTGTCTGGAAGGCGTTGCGCTGTGTTTGCGTGTGTGGAGCGCTGTTATGTAACAGGTTAAGTCACACACAGAAGGAGAGGATATGAAGCGATATTTTCACGTTTTTACTGCTCTTGTAAACAAATGGGGTTTCATGCCTGACTACTGCGGTTTTTAAATGTGTAGCTCGCTGTAGTATAGTAGGCTATTATTTTTCCTGTGTGTTGACACGATTGCCTCGTTTTCTCTTCGCGGATACACTGTCGCGCTGTCCGGTTACGTAACTGAAGAACGGAGGCAGGTACGCTTATGGATCCGGCCGCTCGAGGAGTTTCAGTTGGACTGAGAAAAAAGGGTCTGACATTCCTAACCCCCTAACCTATATTTTTGCCCAGTATTATTGAAGAATAATTTACCGGTGCGTGCGTGGAGAACAAACATCGTTTTACACTGGGTGAGGTTTAAATAGCAGATAGAAATGATTTAGGATACAAAATTATAAAATAAAAATCCACATTAAATCCCTGGATGGTCAACATAATTAATCATCCACTGTAATCCCTCTGGCCCTCTGTTCATAGTCAATTCATGAAAATTGTTCACTGGCATTGATCCATGTGAATTAAATGTTTCAAATATTATGAAAGTAGAGCAAAACAGTTAGCATGAAATGAAAATTCACCCTATATATTTTGTAAATGCATCTTGGTCTTATTGTGAATGGTTCATCGATCCATACGTTTAATTTTTAAGATTTTTTTAGCTCAATTTTTAATCAAAATGCCATAAATTACAGTGAAACAACAGACTTCTCTCTGGTGACATACTGGACTTCTCCAATCATTTAAAGTCTGCTTAAACCCCACCCCTTTCTTACGATTAAAGGGTTAGTTCACCCAAAAATGAAAATTATGTCATTAATGACTCACCCTCATGTCGTTCCAAGCCCGTAAGACCTCCGTTCATCTTCCGAACACAGTTTAAGATATTTTAGATTTAGTCAGAGAGTTTTCTGTCCCTCCATTGAAAATGTATGTACGGTATACTGTCCTTGTCCAGAAAGGTTAGAAAAACATCATCAAAGTAGTCCATGTGACATCAGTGGGTTAGTTAGAATGTTTGGTCCAAAAATAACAAAAACTACGACTTTATTCAGCATTGTATTGTTATCGGGTTCTGTTGTCAAGCCGCGTTCACGAGTCTGCAGTGACGCTGCTGACGTGTTATCTGATGTGTCCGTGTATTCGGGTTCAAATAAATATGGCTGGGCAAAAAAATGCAAGTCTTCCTCTGTGTCGAAATCCTTAGACATGTTTGCGAAGATTGTTTTGTTTACAGCGTGCGTCTCCCTCAGACTGTAAACGAAGCTCGGGCGCACTGATAACACGTCATCAGCGTCACTGAACGCGGCTCGACAACAGAACCGGATAACAATACAATGCTGAATAAAGTCGTAGTTTTTGTTATTTTTGGACCAAAATGTATTTTCGATGCTTCAAAACATTCTAACTAACCCACTGATGTCACATGGCCTACTTTGATGATGTTTTTCTAACCTATCTGGACAAGGACAGTATATCGTACATACACTTTCAATGGAGGGACAGAAAACTCTCGGACTAAATCTAAAATATCTTAAACTGTGTTCCGAAGATGAACGGAGGTCTTACGGGCTTGGAACGACATGAGGGTGAGTCATTAATGACATAATTTTCATTTTTGGGTGAACTAACCCTTTAACTACAAGCTAGCATTCAGATGCTTCATCCATTCAACAACTGATGGATAAAAACAAGTCCCCTCCCTACATTTTTACTTCTCCATAATTTTCACTCTGATATAGGGTACAACGGGGCTAAAGGCACACCTTAAGAAAAATGGCCGCACCTAAAGGCACACCTTTTCACTACTCCCATATTGTATGATTGCAGAAAAAATATATATGTTTGTATTGAACATTGATTGAGCAACTGATTTTGTGTGAAAATAAATCATAAATCAAAAAAATCAAATAAATTAAAATGTATGAGGTGGCAGGGTGAGCCTTTTACCCTACACACAGGGTGAAAGGCTCACCAGCATGGGGCAAAAGGCACACATTACATTATTGATACAAATACTTTAGCTAAAATATTATGTTTTGCATAAAGTCTAAGTTAATACTTCCTTAATACTCAAAACAATCACTTTAGCAAAGTTTGTACAATTTTGTTTTTGATAAATAATTTTTTTTTTTCAATAGGCCTATACTGTCATTAAAATATGTTAATATAGAAATAAAATTATTTTGAAAAGTAAAGATTCTGAAAGCATCGAAGGAGATCCCTCAATAATTTAATATAGGTTTACCGTAGTAAAAATAAATTATATTTTATTATATGATATGATTAATATCATATTTTTAAATATGATTGCTTCATTATAAATATGGTGATTATCTCTAAGGTGGACATCCAATTTAATAGGCAATATGATATTTACCATCTGAATCTATCCATGTCATGCCAACAAATGCAAAAGTCAGCCAGTTATTTATTATCATGTTAATTATTGTGATTTTCGCCCCAACAGCAAGGACGCCTTTTACCCCAAATACCATATTTTTAGATTCTTCCGTTATTGAAAAACTTTTGCTTTATTTGCCTTGAACAAAACAGAACTTGCGCTGCTGCCTGCGATCGTGTCAATGATCAGCCAAATTTCCGTATGCATCTTGAGAAGCCAATTTTTTGTCATCTAGTGGTTCAGAGGAAAATAAAATCAAAGGCGCCTTTTACCCGGTGCGCCTTTAGCCATGTTGTTTCAAACCTGTATGACTTATTTTTTTTCTCAGAATTCTTCAAAATATCTACATTTTGTATTTGTCATTTTTGGGTGAACTATCCCTTTAAGGGGTTTTCTTCAGCCCCAGCAGCTGAGACTTTTCCACTCAGCAGTCACTCTAAAAGCTCCATGTTTTACACAGCACAGGGACTACCTACCCGAGATGATGTTACATAACCTCTTGTGCTTCCTCAAATTCTTCACCCCAGTGGAGTTGGTGGGCCTCAGGGTGGACAAGTGGCTACACACTAGCACTCAGCCAAAAATGTGCAAGGCCATTGCTGAGCATCTTCGGTCTACTTGAGGCTGTTGTGTAGTGAGGCGCAAGGTTGTGCTCAAATGCAACAAATAAACGAGGAGGGAAGCTGTATTACATGTCCAAGCAATGGACTTCAGTTGAAGGAGAATGATGCGTTGGCTAGGAATGATAACAGTGTCTACTTGAATAGAAGCGGTCATTCTGTGTAATGTGTTAAGGTGTGTTCACACCAGCCATGTTGGAATTACCAAAATTTGTGATTCCGACTTGGTCAAGTATTTCAGTCCTCATAAAAGTCATAATTACAACCTGTATATTCTAGGGGTGTAACGATATATTGTGTCACAATACAAAAATGCTGAGATTTGGTGTCAGTACTACATTAAACTACTATAATGTTGAATATAATGTATAATAATGCAATGTGAGAATATTTGTGGGTCCTGATAATGCCAAATGTCTTATATAACCAGTAAAAAGTGCCCTACATTATTTTAAATATATCGAGTCAGTGACAGAGTGCAAGCATATTCATCTAAAATAATTCTGTATTTTCAGCTTCAGATTCATGCATATTTTTATTCTGGTGTCACCATTGTCCTGTGCATTGGGTTACCAGCACCAAGTCCAAGCCTATTCATTTCCACCCCCAATGCAAAACCAAGTTTAGCATTTTAATCAACAGTGCATTTTTTGTTAACCTTTTACCATATGTCTTGGAGTATCGCCATAATATTGTATCGTGAGTTCAGTATCGTGATATGCATCGAATCGCAACATGAGGGTATCGTTACACCCTAGTATATTCTGAATTTTTGGAGAGCCCTGACTTGTACCACCTGACCTCTGCAATGTCATGCGGAAACACTCGAAATGGCAGCGGCTTCAGCAGTAAAATGTAGTGAAACAGTTATTTCATAATATTTCTAATAATTCCTATAATTGAATATTGGTAATGTATTAATAATACAAGAACACATACAGTTTAATGTAGCTGGCACAGAGCTGAATAATTTTCTAATGCCCTCAACGCCCTAAATAAACTATTTTTATTCATAATGTTTATTAATAA